TTGTATTTACTTCTGGGTTATTCACCAAGCCATTGTGATTGGTAATAATACTATTGAAAATTTGAATATTGTTTTATCCAACACTTCATAAACATCCGATAAATCTGTTATTATTGATGTCTAATGTTTTGTCAACGTTTTTCAGATTGTAAGCTTAGAACAATACTTACCAAAACTAAAATTTATTGTATTTTATCAATAGTTTGGTGGAAGTATTTCATAAATATTAAATCGGTCATCCTCTTCTTTATTCAAAGTTTCTCTTTCTAAAAACAGTTCAACGCTAACATTGCTTTCATATATTTTATTTAATGTTTCGGTTTTTGGTGTTAAATGATTTGGTAATATCTCATCCTTAATAGTTGTCTCAGTTACATTGTTCGGTAAGGAAGCTTTGGCAGCTATGTTTATGATTTGTTCGAAGCCATAAAATATTAGTTTGTAATGAACTGGTTTTTACGATGGCGCTACGGCATACGTTGAAAATAGTTTGGCTATATTTGAATGTTTTACACCTATTGTATACCTATGGTGTTGTATTCTTGTGTAGGCTTGTAAGGGGTTGTTTTAAAGTGTAGTTCTGTGTAATTTACTACACTTGTTGTTGTGTCTTGAGATTCAGTTTTTTTTTTATTTATATCAATTGCTTATCTTAGTTGCTTTCTCTCCTCATCCAGAAAGTTTAATGATGTTAGTGATTTTTAATAGACCCTTTGTAGTGAAACATTGCTTCAATTTTCATTCACGCTCTTTTATTATCATCAACTGCTTTTAGACTCAATCTTTCTCAAACAAGATCTTTCAGGTTCCAAGTTTATGAATAACTCGAGTCTGCAAATAACCATTGAATTTGACTGTTAAGTCATACAGCGTTCACTATTGTAATCTCTTTACTAAGAATCAGAGTTCAGGCGGCCGATGTTTTCCTTACATTCTCGTTCAATCGTAGGATGTTAGCAGATTTGTTCTCAGAACCATATTAATGTGAAACAAAACGTTTGTGTTTTTGGAATAGGTATTTCAATGTTTACACTCGTTAGATGGTAACCCTAAGGTGATTCTCGAAATCGCTTGCGAAGGTGGTCCGACGAAAGACGAGTTGCATACTACGGAAGTGGATGAAAAAAATTTGGCAGTTGTTTCATAACATTGCTGACATTAACATTCTGTTGAATATTATGAAGGTCGACAAGATTTTCTTGAGTCTCTTCGTTATTATTTTTATGCTAATTTTTAAAAGATGTTGCTTGATATTTTTACTACATTGTTTTATGTCATGGGTCAGCAAATTAGCAGGCAGATTACCTGGTAGTAAGCAATCAGCGCCGCCCGACACTCATAGTGCCGAAGGAGTTACAACAAGTGCGTTGCCAGCCTCTCGTAGTTTAATAGGGATTTAAGGATAGGGGATTTGGGGATCGAGGACTGGAGGAGTTAAGGTAACCACACTCAAATGGCGAATCACAATGTAAGTGTTGCTTCAAGGTTTTCTGTGAGGCCGTGGTATCACTCCGGTTGAGCCGACCCATTCGTACCGAAGTATGTAAACAAGTATGGGAGAGCCATGGCTCTCCCATACTTGTTTCTTGAACATTGAAAATACATCAAAATCAAGTAATTGACTTGCATACTAATGATAAATTATACTTATGACAACTGTGTTATTGAATTCTAATCACTAGACAAGACGAGTCTAGTGGAACAAAAACAAACATGTTTTAATAAATCAGTATTCAATATCTTTAGATTTATTCATATCGATAAGTGTAATAGTAGTGAGATGGGTATTTCCGAAACACTTGTATTGAAGTTAATTAGCATTGATTAATGTAAATACGACCTTAACATTTGAGTGGTTGCAAGGTGGTACAAACAAAACACGCAAATTTCAGAATTGGATAAAGCAAAGATTATTACTTTACTGCGTTACGGGATTTAACCTGCCGTGGTCACAAGCATACTAATGCTATTGACCATAGCAGGTGTAACACTGCCGCAACGTCAAATAAAAGGGTACGTGCGCGCTAAATCCTGTAACACAGTAAAGTATTAATATGCAACGCGAAAGTTTGAAGTATAATAAAGCGGAGATTTTCAAAAAATAACATCAATTCATAGAATTGGGAGCAAGGGATTCTTGATTTACATGACATTCATAACAACAGAAAAATGGCTTAAAATTAAGCTTGAGCAGAAGCGAAAATCAAATTAGAACGGCTGTTGATGATTAAGAACTAGATCTTACATCCACTACAAGGAATAAAGTGTCTCGTGTTACATTTGTCGACTGTCTTACAGTTTAATTGATACAAATTGTACGCTTTCACGCGACACTATCCCATTCAACAATAGTTTTTTTTCAATAGCAGAATGGTTTTTACATTTTGAATGACAGTTATGCAATAATATTTAACATTGACATTGATATTAATTTAGCCAGAGCTTCAGATATAAAGGACATGAATGTCAGAATTAAACTTAATGGAGTAATATACTGATATAGAATTAATTTGCTTTAATGGGTGATGCTTGTTCTTATATGCATATTTGACTTCTAATTTAAAACAGCTGGTTAAGAATTGATCTTGAATGGAATTATCTGATCTGCCACAACTTAGGATAACTTCAGGCCAATTAGAAGTGAAATGCATCCAGGCTTCAGTAGTAAACAAAATTTGTTTTGGAAATAGTACAGCAAGGATTCTTGCCTGGTTTATTTGAAATAGTAAAGTTATTGAGCTCAATTGTTATTTATAATCTGTTTTTATGGAGTAGGAGGCAAAGGAGCCTAATTCACCGAAGGGTCACCTGTTGGTAAGTGATCGAAAAATATTAAAAATAAATACATACGTTTAAAACAGTATTTGAAATTAAAACCCCTTAGTTGAACCTCTTCGAAATTAAGCGACTCTATAGAGACATAATCAAATGTACAATAACTAACCAGTAGGGTCAGGTTTATAACGAATGCGATGACGTCATTTCGAAATTCCCCATGCTCTGTGCTGTAATCAGACCCGCGACATGCAACCTAATTGGCAGGATGCTATTTTTGATTCGTTTTAAATTGAAAAGGTATTAAAAAGTGGTGGTCTTCGGCTGTTTTATTTGTTGAAAGTTTTCGTTTGTCTGTTTAACTAATTGTTCCATGTTGTACTCAAAATTTGGCAGAGTGGAAAAGTTAATAACCAAACTTTTCTGCTTAATTTTCCTCATCATATTAAGTAATTAAGGCTTTCTGACTCATGCCTTATATTTCACGAAATCTAAGGCAGAAGTGTACCTAAGATATGTTTATTTTTACGGTAAACCTTACTATCCATTATAGGATTTCTTCATAAAATTCTATCTAATTAGCTGTACGAAAAATTAACAACTTGTGTGACAATTGTGTCGCTGAATATATTTTGTATTCGATCAGTAAAGTATGTATGTAGATCAAACCAATCCCTTTTGACTTTTCTAAAATATTTTGCATCTAGAAAATAAAATAATATCACCACAACACCAATCACTCTTGCCAACTAATAAGACAATCTGCAATCATTACGAAATCAATCACCACCACTTATTGTCCACATTGTTATGTGTCAGATTGTCATTCGTTCTTGGCAGTGACACGCACCAGGTAGCTGAGCTGGTCAAGTCCAAGGTTTTCAATGCGCTTGATGACCTCGTTGGACATGTAATTGTTACCACCGCTTCTCAACACGTGGGTACTGCAGAACTCGACTAAGTGACCAAACTAGAGATGAAGCAGCTGTTTTTTATAGAGGATCTCTAATTCTTTAACTGTGCGAGATCCATGCTTTGGCAAAAGTGGGTCGGCTCCACCGGAGTGATACGACGGTCTCACAAAATAATAGCTTGAAGCAAAACGTACGTTATGTTTCGCTGTGTCAGTAAGGTTACCGGAGGCCCAATCCTTTCCCACATCCTCAATCCTCAAATTCCTTATCCTTAAATCCCTAAGACCTAACAAGAGGCCGGCAATGCACTTCTCGATGGGCGGCGTTAATTGCTTACCATCAGGTAATCCGTCTCCTAGTTTGGCGACCAATGCCATGATAATGTTGATGGTGGTTATTATACCTCACATTCTTGGCATTAAGATACATCAGTTAGCTGAGCTGGCCAAGTCCAAGGTTTTATTCGCACTTGTCGATGAACATTAATTGTAGGACCGTTAAATGACTGGTATTTGACATTATGTTGTGTGTGTGACGAGTCTGTTCTACATTCTTTTGATTCCTGCTTAACTTTGTGATGGTTCTTTGTTTTAGAATGAAAATAATCTGTTTTTAAATGTCTGATCTTGTTTAGAATTTTTTTCCTCGTAGGTTTTCGAGTTCACCTAAGCGTATGTGATTTTTTCTTCTCTTGAAATCTAAAATGTGTATATACTATGTACAAGTTTACGAGTTGGCACGTCACCTAGACTAGTACACATAAAATACACGTAGACATTGTTTATTTAATCAACACCAGTCCTTTGATTTGAATCGTACAATCGCCTTGAGTTTCCAACAATACCTTCAGTTTACACAAAACTTTAATAATAGGTATATTCAGTTATATTGATAAAGTAAAAAGCGAACGTATCAAACATATGCCAAAACTACACAAACAGTGCGCCTGCGCCGGTTGAAACAATCATACAACATTATTTTCAAACCATGGAATTTGGCGGACACAAGCTCCTTTTCGCCATATGTTGACCCTGAATACACCGAACATTTTCCCCCCAATTTCAATTAACTACTCTATAATAATAGTCCTTAAACATAATTTTAAATTACATAAATAGGCACTTACTCCTTTTGGTAATTAAGCTATGCGCGAGCTTGAGAATAATGCGTCCCGTTCTATTGTATGTTTTGTTTTATTGCCGTCTCGTTTCGCCCACCATTCAGTTTGAAGTGCACAGGTGCATTATACGTTTGTCTCGCTCGCTCCCCTTGTTTATGTCTGGCCGCTGGTGGGTCAGTCTCGCGGTCGCACCGGCGTGGTACTGACGTGTCGCCGCTGCCGTATAACTTGGAGCTTTTTTAGAAAGTGCCTGTTGGATGGATGTGTTTGTGTTTTTTTAAAGGAAGAAATTCTGTGTTGGCATTGACGTCGTGTCTTAATGTCAGTGTAGTGATGTGCATCAGGTGTTTGTGACGTTGTTGGCATTTCGTTGTTTCCTTTGGATATCCTTTTGTTCGGAAACGTGAGCGTCCGGCCCGTGACCGTATGCTACGGTTTGTTTTACTTTTTTTTTGTTCAACTTGCAATTTATTTAAAGAGTTTCGTATTGTCGCCAATGAGTGCGTTTTGTAATAATACAACGACTGGAATATTCAGTTTTGTAAGTTAATTAACTTTGCAAAGTTTCTTTGAGTTTTCAGTACTGGACAAACCTACAAATACATAAACTTTAAAGTTAATAAGCGGGTAGGACAGTATTTACCAAATTAATCTCATATAATGACGGTCGTAAATTCGAGTCCCAAAAATCTTGGGCTCGACCCTCGAGATGGTCGTAATACTATATTAGACTACTCATTTTAGAAATTATGTTATTGGTCACAAAAACACCCCCTAATAATGGGACAATAACTGATAGGGTTTAATTAGACATATAACTCTTTAGGGGCGAGTAGCCTTGATGACACCCCAAATGTAAAAAGCTATAATATCACCGTATCATTTATTCTCCCATCACAAATGTGGAATTACAACAACATGTAGGTTCAATTACATGTTTACACAAATGTGGCACAAACTGACTGGCTGTCAGACATTATAACATAACATTGAACAATTTATTACATTACATCAACTGGAATATAGATTTCGATGTTATAAAATATCTAGGTTAAAATGCTTTGAAAATTTAACAGAATAAATCTAAAAAAAAATTATTATTAAAAAAACAAAATACCCGACTGCACACTAAAAAAAGAGTAAAACAAGCCCCACAATACAAATTTACTGAATATAATTTATAAATGTTGATGGAAAGCATCGCAGGCGGGGACCAACAGAGGCTTATTTATAGTCATTTCTGTTGTGCACCATTTAGCAGAATTTTCGTTGGTGGCGGTCAAGATGGTCCCCGCCTGCGATGCTTTCCATCAACATTTATAAATTATATTCAGTAAATTTGTATTGTGGGGCTTGTTTTACTCTTTTTTTAGTGTGCAGTCGGGTATTTTGTTTTTTTAATAATAATTTTTTTATTTATAACTTTTTAGCTGTTTTTATTTAGAAAAAATATTATTATGTCTTTATCCCGTGGGACTTTTAGGATAAAATGTATCCTATGACACTCCCGTTATCAAGACAAATCTAACGATACCTCATACATCAAAATCCATCAAGCCGTTTAGGCTACAGGAGGTCACAAAGGAAAAGACATACATACATACTTACATACACTCGAAAAACATTACCCTCCTTCTTTGGCAGTCGGGTAAAAATGTGTGATGCTGATATATTTGGTACTGTCAAAAATTTAGGACGACTCGTATCTCGATATTGAATAATGGGCTTTGAAAGAAATAGTTATTAGTACTGGCTTCTACAGCGGCTTTGCCCACATTACCAGGGAAAAAGTAGTCTATGTGTTATTCTGTACTAGAATCTAGGTATCTCTATGCCAAATTTCATTCTGATCCCTTCAGTAGGTTTTACTTGAAAGCGTAGCAAATATCTTATCATCAATCTTAGTACGTTTTTGAAGAGGAATATTACAAAAAAAATTTGTAACCGATATCTTCAAGCGATTGAGCTGAAATTTAGTCAACACTTAGTTTACATGACAATAAATATTGTAAGCTGTATGACTTTACTCTTAATCCATAAAAATATAATTATATAAAATGTTTAAGACTTGGGATTTATTGAATCACCGAATAAAAAGTTTGTTTTTAATAATTTTTTTCTACTTACATTTAATTGAGATTATGTATAATATAATATTCCGATGTCAAATTTTAGTTTGACCTTTAATCTCGTTACAATTCAATTTAAACATCAAGTTATCAAGTTAGGTATACATATAATATCTTATTCGGTAAAAACCCACAGTTTATTTTAAGCGTGTAATTTCGACTTGAGTTTATTAAGGATAATTACATCATTCTTTTTAATTGTTAACAATAACACAAGTCTGTGTTTGTGTGCATTTTTCTAACTACGAGTAATGCTGCATGTATCTTATCCCTATAATTTATTATAATTATGTCACTTTTAAACCAAAACCTAATATCATTTCCCCCCTACAAACTCCGATAAGTATTAGATCCATCTCATAATAATGATTCGTTCGGAATATCACCACGTTCGTTCGATCCCATTTATTTTAAATAAACCAGTCGATTGACTTCAACTATTTCGCTGTTCACGTGGGAATTGATCTCTACGTCTGTACGTAATTTATGTTGTCCAGGTCCAGTAGTGTTATGTACTATTAAAATATAATAAAGATACTCTTAGACATACCATTATGTACAAACATTACAATACAGATTTTCTTATTTGTCCTTGCCTTTGGGTTGTCTTTGCTCAGCTGTGGGCACTTTTTGATTAATGATTAATGATGGACATTAACTACCCCAAAAAGCCACTCGAATTGTATACAATATAAGCCAATCGGAACACGGACGTGGGAACGCATGCTGTCGTGTTTTATGAATGAATTACCTATGGAAATCTGTAAGACAATAACTATAAAAAACTGTTCAAAAGTGTTGAAGAGATACTTCTTGTCATAATGCGACCGAGAAAGTATTTTTTATTCTTACTGTGTATGTATTGTATACCTGCTACTTTATTTTGTGTTTTGGCACCGAGTTGTCGCTTCTGACATACCGCTGTTAAACCCTCGATGGTTTTTGCTGGTATGTATATACAGGTTAATATGATTGTATCAATGTGGTTGTTTAATAAACGAAAAAAAAAAAAATGTGAATGCTTGTAAAAAGAAATTTAATTATCTAGTTTAATTTAACATATTTAAGAACTATAAGTCTGTAAGCCTTCTGTAAGAATAAAAAAAACGCGTTTTCCTATCAAATCAAGGTATTTTTTCTTTAAATTTGATACCCTTTCACATGTAAAGAGTTCCTTATTAGCCCCATAATCTCCTATTTCTTAACAATCAAGAATATTGTCTTCTTTATTAAATTCTACTTTCGTATAATTAGGCTTTAAAATTCCTTGACTAGTCATTCCTTTAGCACGGAAGAGCTTGTATCGTGACTGATTTGTACGCATTTTCCGCATAACAAAGTCCCATCATTTATATCATAGACGTTTACACGACTATATTCCTTATAACATACCTGTTTTTCAATATCTAAACACGTTATGGAGGTAAACGTGTTATAAAGTTCAATTTTGTGTGAAACAAAAACAACTTAGATGGTTTTATGTGTCCAGCAGCTTATCAAGCTACCCTTTTATGTTTAAATGGATATTCTACATTATGTGTTTGACATCAAAGTCGTAATTCTAATGAAGAGGTTATCTTGGCATGCTAATTCAGATTTTGTTCCTATTAAAAAGCTGTGTTTGACCCCTGTGTAAAACTAAGTGCAATGTTTTGCTTATCGAGACGTCTTATTAGAAAAAATTATAATGGTTATATGTTTGATTAAACCCACATAACTCGTTTTAAGTTTTCCTGTTATAGGTATTTAAAATACCAGAGAATTTTAACACGGAACTTATCAAATAACTTTAAAATTACATTTTCATCAATCATTAGACTTGGCAAGAGGAGGATTGTCACAATCCCCACGCTTGACGAACGATGTGGGGATAAGACTTTCAAGCCCTAAAGCTTCAAGACTGCTGTTGTCGTTCTCGTAGTAGTAGATAAATATTACATGACATAGCCCATTTAAAAAATAACAAAATTCTAAAGAATTATTATCAAGGTTGTGTCCTCCATAGGCGTGGTACCCCCTCTTCTATTCACATCCATTCTCATCAGCTACCTATTTAATTCAAGTAACGGAAAACTTCAGAACTTTTCTAAGATTCTAAGTAATTTTGAATAAAGTTCCTAACAAACAAATAAATCATTACAATGATTGAATCATGGTGCCCATGACACCTTAGTTATATGTCACAAATATCCTTATTTCAAGAAATATAAACAATTAATTGTGAGTAATTAATATACCTAGTACCTACGTAATGGGATGACGGGGAATCTATTGTAACTTATATATTTATTTTATCAAGGCTTACCAACTAATATTCACACATACAGACTTAGGAATATGTCAAACAACTGTAAGTGTATGCTCTTAAATTAAAAGCAGGCACAATATTATATTTCGACTGTTTAAGTAAAAAAAGTTAGTGAAAAAGTAATAATGCCGTTCAAAAAATCTATAATGGGTAACATAATTCAAAAACTGCGCAAACTATACATGGCTGCTTTAAATACACGTAGTTTATGTATTAACTCATATTGTTGTTACACAGTAGGTACTAGAACTACTTTAGCCGGGGTTGCGGGGTAAGGGCACCGCGACCTCGGCGCAGAGCAGGAGAAGGAACAGGGGGGTTGTTAGTCAGTAAGAGACTGACACTCCCTCCTGCCCGGCCCTGGGCGGAAGAAGTCATTTGATGATTTTCCCCTCACCAGAACTACTTTTTACGCGAAAGAAACAGAAAGAACTGAACTTTTTACGCGAAACAGTAAAACCATAAATACATACAGACTGTCGCGTTTGCAATATTAGGAGGATAATATAAGTAATATGAATAAATTCTAATCGTTATAATAAAAATCTTACTTTGGTTTATTTGTATAGAGTAAACTGGAAAACGACTGATTTGAATAAGCTACGTTGTTAGCGAGTAACATCTTGTTTTTTATCTCGATTTTCTTACGTGTGTCAAGTGTAGAAATTAAAGCAAATCATTCTTATTACATTATAACCAGTACCGTATGCCAATTCTTAACAGTAACAGTTTTAGGAACAAAATAGCAAGTATGATACCACATTCTTAGTTAGGTGTATCTGTATATATGTATAATGGAATAGGTATATGAGTAATAGTGTATACTGTGTTTTTATACACCGGAAAAACACTTGAGTAAATAAAATATATAAATATAAGTATGATGGTTGAAACTCTTGATTATATTGTGGCGTGTACCTAGGGCTGCCATCTATACTGTTGGTTAACAGTAATAAACTATTGTTCGAGCTCTTAGGGTTGCATGTCCCTGGGACGA